AGAGTGAGTAACCAATGAGCTGGACTCCACTGCATAATGGAGGCCATCGGTGGATGTTAGTGTTTGGTCAGTGAAACGTTCCAATAATTTAATTAAAAAAAAAGTCAAGATTTAAAAGACACAAGAGGGTAGCAGGCAGCCATCCAGCTACAACCACATTAGCACAACAAAATATAATCACAGCCATCACTTCATATCCAGGTAGACAAGAAAACCCTCATGAGATGAATCCATGCAGTTGTCTTATGTAGCCTTCAAAGGTCCACATCTTGCTTGTTGTTCTTGGATTTCTTAACTTGTAAATTAAAAAAATATATATATTTGGGGATTTGTAAAGCATAAGAGGGTCTTTCCAGGGCTCGAGTTGTTTTAGGCAAAAATACAAAGAACACAACCACACTAGCACAATGAACAAGAAATGCAGCAGCCTGCTCAAAACCAGGAAGAGAGGGGAAAAAAAGGATGACCTACAAGTACTTGATGGATTATTCAGTCTTCAGATATCCCTGCATAATGCCTGAAGGAATGCTTTGCCAGCTGAGCTTGTGAGACCAAACGGAGATCCAAGAAAGGTGGAGGCCTACATCTCAAGTGCTGTCTCAGGTCTTATCCATAAAGAGCCTATCTTTAAGGGGAAAAATGAAATTTGATTTATTATGATAACTTTAAACTCTGATTCCACATATGACATACAGATCCCAGTTCTTAGCACCCCTTCACTCCCTGAAGATCTAGGAAAAGACATCCTGGGCCTTACTCTCTTCACAAGGATCCTGGATTTGTCTCAGGGTGAAAGGGCTGTTCCCAGAGGAGCTCCTTTGACTTTGCTCCAAAATTGACTTCAGTGTAAGGGAGCGGAGAATCAGGTTTGTGCCTGGGAGACGCTGAACGCAGGGCAGGTGGAGGCATTGCTGGTGTGATAGTTCAGGCCCTTCCCAGGCCTAGGAGTGAGGCAGGTCATGATCTGTAACACATCAGAGACCAGTGGTGACTGGGGCAGAATTCATAGGTTCATAGATTATAGAGTTGGAAGGGACCCAATGGATCATCGTATCCAACCCCCTGCCCCTGGCAGGAAAAGGACCGAGGTCAGATGACCCCAGCCAGGTGATTGTCAAGTCTCCTCTTGAAGACATCCAAGTTAGGTGACAGCACCACCTCCCTTGGAAACCCATTCTAGACTCTGGCCACCCTTACTGTAAAAAAATTCTAATGTCGAACCTAAATCTACTCTCCACTAGTTTGCACCCATTATTCCTAGTTACTCCCTGGGGTGCTCTGGTAAACAGCACATCCCCAATTCCCTGCTGTCTTCCCCTGATAAACTTGTAGGTGGCTACAAGGTCACCCCTCAGCCGTCTTTTGTGAAGTCTGAAGAGATCCAGCTCCCTCAACCTCTCCTCATAGGGTCTTTCACGAAGACCACTAATCATGCGAGTGGCCCTCCTCTGAACCCTCTCCAGATCCTCTGTGTTCCTCTTGAAGTGCGTCACCCACACCTGGACACAGTAGTCCAGCTGCAGCCTGACTAATGCCACATAGAGGGGGAGCATTGCCTCCCTCAATCTGTTGGTCATGCATCTGCTAATGCACAACAAGGGGTGATTGGCTTTCTTGATGGCCTCATTACACTGCCAGCTCATGTTCATCTTGGAGTCAACTATGACTCCAAGATCCCTCTCAGCCGCTGAGCTGCTGAGGAGGTCATCCCCAACCTGCAGGTGTGCTGGGGATTCCTCCTTCCTAGGTGGAGTACCTTCCATTTATGTTTGTTGAATTGCACTCATCCAGCCCTTCCAAGTGCTCCTTAACTAAGTCAGCACTAACCTTTGGTGGTCTGGTGCCTTTTGGACATCTGTCTATGCTCAAGGTGGGTGAATTGTCTTGGTTAGTATTAAGGATTTTTTTGATGCTGGTCGCTTGGAGACAGCAGTCATCTTAATGCAGTCTGGCCTGAGATCCTGCATCAAGGACTACAGGGCAGTGAGAAGGTCCCCTCACCTATAATATATACTAAAGTTTGGCCTAACTGTGACATGGACAACATGGCAGGGTGTACAGGGTTGGAGGTTTTATTATGTGTAGGTCTGAATAAAATGAAGATGCCTCAAGAGACAGGACTTAAGGAGTTTCTCTTGGGTAGGTCGGGAATGGGGGAGGCGATGGCTCCAACCCCCACCTGGCAAGGAAGCTGAGCTCAGCTCCATTGGGAGTAAACTGCTGGGCACAAACCTACCAGGGGTGATTCCAGCATAACCCCTGGACCAGTGGGGGAACTGGGGAGCAGGGGCAGTGTGACCTGAGCAGCTGGTTTCCCGCCTGAATGGATCCAAGGACACACAACACATGATGCCCTTGAGTTTGTGATGACCATGGGTTAACTTATGGGACAAATGCCGGAGGCTCTTACCACATCTGTGTGGCACCGTGTCACTGGAGCTGGCCCTGTAGCGCACGCTCACCCACACCACGGCACAGACCATGCACAGGAAGACGGGCATCTTCAAGCCGACCAGGAGCAGGAAATAGATGCTGCTGGCCTGGGACCTGCAGGTGGAGGACGGTGTAGAGTGAGTTGAGCCCTCTTGGTTGGACTAGACTGCTCTCTTCCTGAAGGTGGGAAGGGAACATGAAGGTTTGAGCACCCACCACTGACAGACCCCCAGAACCTACTTCGGGTCTCATTCATGCAATAACAGAGCCAGCGACGGTCCGGTGTGAACAGGCTCAGTCTGTGTCTTCCCAATGCTCATGTTTTCCTACATTTCACTGTGCCTAAGTAGACCTGCAAGTAGCTGCTGACAAAAGCTGCTCTGTCTGATAATATCACCAAAGGAGTGACCTTACTTATGAAGCTGGGATGGTTGAATATTGTATGCACAGTGTCACAGGGCAGGGAGGTGGGCACTCACTGCAGGAGAGTGTGAGGTACAGGCTTTGCCTGCTATAGACACGCTCCATGTGGAGATGGGCTCGCAGGAGCGGGTATGAGCTGGGGCCTCTGTGGTTGATGGTGATCACGGAGAAAGCTGCAATGGATAAGAGAGCTTCAGCAGGTGCATGCAGTGTCTGATGGGCTGTACGTTGGGCAGGCATCTGCCAAATCCTTTGGTAGTTGGGGCAACACTCCTCATGGCTGGAAAGGAAGGGATGTACCCAGGCACTGTGTGAGCCAGTACTAAGGGACTCTGCTACATCTGTCAGGGGAGATGGGACTGGACTGAGGAGTCAGGCTGTGAGAGGTTGCTGCACTGGCAGCGCACCGGGGGCTGCAGCCTCAGCAGGGGGGGCTCTTTGCTCTGTGGGAACCCAAGGTGTTCCCATGTGGACCTGAGTGTTGAAGGGTGAAGCGGGTTATAGACTGCAGGGCTTAACCCCTCCCTTTTGAGGGTACCAGGGACCAAAACATCTAGAGCCTGTCCCAGCACCCAACCCCAGACACTGTCCCGCCCAGAGCTGGGGGGAGCAGGGCAAGAAGTTTCCTGGGGACACGGTCGGTTCCCCCAAATGCTCAAGATCAACAATTAGAGACCTCACTGCCCTGCACAGGTAGATGCCACTACCTGCCTGCATCTGATTCTCAGTCTGTGCACCGGATGTGGTCGTCCCAGGTGAAGTTTCCACCCACCGCTCCTGCAGCCTGAGCCCGGCAGTTCACAGCACATGGTGGAATTGCTCAGCAGCAAATGTGAAGCTGGCTGGTGTAGCTGAGCCAAGCTCGCAGACACACCTGGCAGCAGAGGGAAAAGCAAGTTCTTATAAGGGTTTCAGTTCGCAGTGTCATCACGGGTCTCTTGTAGTTTGTCTCCACTTGCATTTAAGTCCCTGCTAGGCTAGGCAAGGGCAGAGGTGCCAAAGGGACTTGTCATGGGAATCAGTGGGCGCCTGCACATGTTGTTGACTTGTCTAGATAAATATACTCTTTGGGTTTTTGTCTCTCTCAAGTACCACGATGGTTCCTGTTACTATTTTGCACGACTGGGTTTATGACTCAAAATTCGTTAACGTGTAATTACCAGTTAAAGACACGAGAGGGCACCTCATAAACTTACCCTCCCCACCTTCTACTACTAAATTTTAGCAGCAGCTAGTTTGGATATGTAATCTGTGCTGTGCTTGGTGCCTTTTATTCATAAACTAAATCAACAGATGAACAGTCAACTTGGTGGGTTGTGTGGGACTGGTTTTGGTTGACTTTAGGGGACAGGGGTGGGCAGGACGTGCTTTTGGTTGCTGCACCAAATGTGCCCCCCTGCACAGCGGCCAGCATACGCCCCCACACCTGAGTACATGCTGCAGGAAGGCACCCTTCGATAGGGTGTCATACATAAAGGAAACGAGCTGCAGGAAGGAGAAGGGATGAGGGTTACAACAGCAGAATCACATGCTGGCTCTGAGCCTGGGTAGCTGCCAACAGGAATACAGGACCGGACTGAGCTGGATATGAGCATGGCTTTTAAGAACGCAGGTCGTCCCACCAAGCTTCAGGAAAGGACGAGGACTCCCTGTTACAGCCGGAAAGAGCTTTACTTCTTCCCGGCAGTGCCAAATCCCAGAGGCAGCTGGTGGTGTAGTGAACAAGGCGGGAATAATGGAGACTTCACAGAAGGACTAGTAGGCTTTAGGGGTTCAGATGAGAGAACAGGTGGAAAGAGAAAAAGAAATCAGTCTCCATCTGAGACACGACACATTGTAAGATCAAAGGCTCACAGAAAATGAGGGTTGGAAGGGACCTCAGGAGGTCACATCTAGTCCAACCTCCTGCTCAAAGCAGGACCATCCCCAATTATATCATCCCAGCCAAGACTTTGTCTAGCCGGATCCTAACAACCTCCAAGGATGGAGATTCATCATCCTCTCTGGGTAACCTGTTCCAGTGTTTTACTGAGATCCTAGTGAGAAAATTCTTCCTAATCTCTAACCTAAACTTCCCTACCTGAAACTTGAGCCCATTGCTCCTTGTTCTGTTATCTGCCACCACTGAGAACAGTCCAGCTCCATCCTCTTTTGAACCTCCCTTCAGGTAGTTAAAGGCTGTTATTAAATCCCCTCTGTTTTCTCTTCTGTAGACTAAATAAGCCCAGTTCGCTCAGCCTCCCTTCATAAGTCATGTGCCGCAGCCCCCTCACCATTTTCATTGCCCTCCCCTGGACTCTCTCCAATTTGTCCACATCCCTTTAGTAGAGGGGGGCTCAGAGCTGATCACAGGACTCCAGAGGTGCCTCGCCAGTGCTGAACAGAGGGGAGGAATCACTTCCCTTGACCTGCTGGCAACGCTGCTACCAGTGCCGCCCACTAAGGTACAACACTGTTGTCTGAAGGAGGAGGAAGCTGAAGGAGGAGGGATCCCTTGCACTGTGAGAACTGCCATGAGACAGAAAACCACCGCGCCCACGATCATGACGGCTCTCACTCACCCTGCTGGGGTGGGGTGTTGGTTAGGGAAATTGGCTTCATCTTCCTTAGCAGCTGTCCGTGCCGAGGTCGGCTTTGTGGAGGCTGTAGGAAGCGGGGTTGGCAGTGTCGATCCTGCTGAGTGTGAGGAAGGAAGAGTCATTGAGGGGTGAAAAATCAAATCTTACAGACACCCAGCAGGGCTGTAGCTGGGATGGGAACATGGGTGGGTCCCTGCTTCTGATGGATGAACCCCAAAGGCTGATGTCACAGTGAATTGTGTTGCAGATGGATTGGACTAGTGAACACCCCCAGCTGCACCCCAGAATCTCAAGTATCTCCTGTTACATACCTGCTGCCCATATTAAACAGATGCCCCATGCTTGAACACCTTCCTGCTGTCTGGTCAGTGAATATTTTTAGTTCACTCTGTAATTTGCCCCAGGTTCATATTCACTTGGGTGCTACTTGCTGAGCTGCAGCACATGCTAACCCTCCCACAGAAATGTGACTTCTCTCCAGGCCAAAGCACGGCCACTTTCTCAGTGACACTAGACATTCTCCTTTCTAAGAACAAGGTTCAAACCCAAGTACTAGAAATTATTCTGTCCACTGCTGCCATAGATTGCATAGACATGAGGGCTAGAAGGGACCTCACGAGATCGTGGGGTCCAGTCCAAAACTGTTCCAGCAGTTTGTGATCGTTAGACCATGTCTTCTCTTGGGGTGCCCTGGTGAACAGATGCTCTCCCAGCTCTCCCCAGTTCCTGATGCACACCCCTTGTATAGTTATAGGCTGCTACCAAGTCACCCCTGAACCTTCACTTCTCCAGGCTGAAGAGTCCCATGCCTCTCAGCCTCTCCTCATAAGGCCTGTTCTCTTGATCTCTAATCCTGTGTGTGGCTCTCCTCTGGACTCTCCCAAACTTCTCCACATCCTTTCTAAAGTGTGGAGACCAGAATTGGATGCAGTACTCCAGCTGCGGCTGAGTAAAGCGGGAGGATGACGTCTTGGGTCTTGCTTGAGATGCATCGGTAGATGCAAGGCATAGTTTTATTACCAGGATGTGTAGGGGTCATGAAATCCCTGAAGTCACTGGGGGGACATTCCCCCACCATGGGCACGGCATAGGTGGTCTTCGGCTCCCCTCCATCCCTAGCACAGGGGCGTGTCAGGGGCAGGCAAGGACGGACAGAAAAGGCTCTTCATCTTTGGTTCTGGGAAAGCTGCGGCCTGTGGAGCCGTACTGGGAGGAAGTGAGCGTGTGACACATTACAGCACTCCCAGGTGCATCTGTCCATCCAGAATAGACGGTTGGGAAGGTGTCCTCTTTGCTCCCCACCCCCTGGGCTGCACTTTGGGAGGCAGAGCACATAACCTCAGCCAGACCGCCCCTTGCATGGTTAACATGGCAGCATCCAGGGTGCCTGCTCAGTCAGTGGGGCTGGTTCCAGGGTTAGAGCTCAGCTTCAGCAACTGCAGTGTTTTAGGCCTGTGAGATGATTCATGGTGGGCCTCAAGGGCATGGCCAACAAGTGCGTATCACTCTGTAATGCGTGCAGAAGGGCTGGTCCCTACAAAACATGAGGACTCTCCTGGTGCTACCAGACCGACTTCTTCAGGAGCTTTCCTGGTCCTGTCAGCAGCAGGCTTGGCAGTGCTGGGACTCAAACTTTCCAGCTAAAAAGTTTTTCTTGCGAGAACATTTTCTGTAGGAAAACTTAAGTATTAAGAACGGTCATATCTTTTCAGAGTGGAAAAAAACGGATTGAAACAGAGTCTAGCAATGCACAATCTGGATTTGTCAACTTGCAACAACATTTTAAATGTTCATTTTTTGAGGTTAACACGGCCTCTCATATGCATTTCCATTTTGCCAGAGCAATTTCCAGGTTTTCCATTCAAAATATCTTCCTGTTTCTTTTTTCTGCTGTCTGACAACTGCCTGGGGAAGCTGCCTTCCAGGCACAGTGTTAGGGTTACCGTATTTCTGGTTCCAAAAAAGAGGACACCTGTCGCCCGGGAGGACGGAGAGGGGGAGGGGAATGTGAATGACTGTGAGGGGTGGGCAGTAATAAGCTGGTGCCCTGCCCCTGCCCATTCTGTTGCCCCTTACTCCCAAACCATGCCCCCCCACCCCCCCAGCCCTGCCAGTGTCCCTCACTCCCAATCCACAAAACCCACCACACTGGGGCATGTTGGTGCCCCTTACTCCTGACCCTCAACCCCCTGGTGCTGCCACTGCCCTGCCCTCCTGACCCACCGTCCTCAGCCCCGCAGTGCCCCTCATACCTAAGCCACAGCTCCCTGCCCTGTCCAGCCAATGCCCCTCATTCCTGACCTGCAGCCCCCTGCCCCCCCAGTCCTGCCTGGCCATGTAGCTCCGTCTTGCCCCTGAAGGGCTGGCAGGCATCCACTCTCCCACACACCCATCCACCCCCCCCCCATCTCCACACACCCTGACCGTCCCCAAGCCCTGGCCCTCCAACCCTTGCCCCCTCCAGACTTACCTGCATTCAGCTGCATGCCGGCCAGGTGTGTGCGCGCCCTGCCTCCAGCTACTTGCTAGGGCAAGGCTGGGAAGTGCCGGGAAAAACTTTGAAGCTGAGCTGACCAAAATCGCAGACACTTGATTATATTTAAAATAATGGCCTGGACTGAAATTGGAGGATCTAAAAAGAGGACATGGCTGGGAAAACCCAGACATATGGTATGTCTACACAGTGTCACCTTCCTTCTGGAATAATGAAAGTTAAAAATCTTACTCTTTTCTGTGTCGGACTCAGCTAAGAATCCACCTTCATTACATGCCTATGGGAACTGAGTCTTTAAGAAAACCAGCAAATATCCTGACACTCATCAAAAAATCCTGAGCTCACACCACTGAACCGTCTCCATGGGAAGATTCCTCAGCACAGAGGACACTGTTGGTTTAGACTTAACACCAAGATCCTTATTGCCCTGCGTAGTTTGGAAGCTCCAGCTGGACCTTGTGGATCCAGCTCTGAGTACAACATGCAGCAGCGGGGGCGTCCAAGCTGCAAGGAAGAAGCCACAGGTGCTTGCAGCCTGCCCCAGCCCAGTCACTTCAAGGCATTTCCAGGTGTCCCCAAACAGCCCACGTCACGCTTACCTGGGAAGAGAACCCAGAGCCAAAGGAGCACCTGCATGGTCCTGGTTCCTCTGTGGATGAGTCTGGCCTCTGCAAGAGCCCTGGGACCTGCTTTCTTTCAACCAAACTACAAATGGAGTCGTGACAGCCACCAGCCACTTCCTTACTTTGCACCTCTGAGCTACTTCCCTTCCGTGTGGAGTGCAACTACAGCAGGACGTGACACAACATCTGTTATTTTGTTACTGGAAGCTTTTCTTGCAAGCAGGGAAATGTTGCAACCCAGAAGGGAGTTGATCCTGCCGACCAGCGCCACAGAGAATCATAGAGAATGAGGGATGGAAGGAGCTCAGGAAAAATCTAGTCCAACCCCCTGCTCAAAGCAGGACCATCTGTAACTAAAGTATCTCAGCCAAGGTTTTGTCTAGCCAGGTCTTAAAAAACTCCAAGGAGGGAAAGTCCACAACCCCTCCGGGTAAACCTGTTCCAGTGTTTTACTACCCTTCTAGTGAAAAATTTATTTCTGATATCTAACCTAAATGTCCCTTGCTGCAACTTGAGCCCATTGCTTCTTGTTCTGTCATCTGCCACAATCGAGCAAAGTCCAGCTCCATGCTCTTTGAAACCACTTTTCAAGTAGTTAAAGCCTAGAATTAAATCCCTTTTCAGGCTTCTCTTCTGCAGACTACATAAAACCAGTTCCCTCAGCCTCTCCTCATAAGTCATGTACCCCAACCCCCGAACCATTTTCGTTGCTCTGTGCTGGACTCTCTCCAATTTGTCCACATCTTTTCTATAGTGGGGGACCCAAAACTGGACACAGGACTCCAGATGTGGCCTCACCAGTGCTGAATAGAGGGGAAGAATCACTTTCCTTGATCTGCCGGCAACACTCCTGCTACAGCAGCCCGGTATGCCATTAGCCTTCTCAGCAAAAAGGGCATGCTGTTGGCTCATATTCAGCTTATTCTCCACTGTAACCCCAGGTCCCTTTCAGCAGAGCTGCTGCTCAGCCACTGCCTCCCCAGCCTATACCGGTACACCCCATGTCCACAGTGTATTAAGTTTTCCTGCCTGTGACAAAACGCAGCATCTACACTGACACCTTGATGTTACCATGCTCTTGGAACTGCATAGGTGCATACCCTACGTTGCTGATCCCCGCCCCCCCGCCCCGAGCCAGGCTCCCTATGGTACGTGTTCATCTTAAAGATCATTTGAGACCCAGGTGCTAGTCCCTGTGTGATGGGACTCACAACAAGGACTTGAATCTCACCATTGCAAAACCCAAATGTGTGCCCTGGCCACCAAGTCACTGGGTAGGCCTTGGGTGGGAGGGAAGGGTTCTTCGCTGTCTCACGAGAACACTCACTTTCAAACAATCATCCAGCGTGCATTGGAGCTGGCACTTTCCCCGAATCCCTCAAAGCTATTGTTGGAGCTGCCAGGGCTTGAAGGCGCTTAGCTCTGTGTCAGGGAGTCTGACAACCCCAGTGACCCCAGCCCCAGATGGGGCAAGGCAGGGCCACCCAGGAGCTTTGGATCCTGGAAGGCCGGGCTCTTGAGCAGCCTGGAAAACCCCAAACTGATTTCACGCATAACAGCATCCAGCACAACATGGAACCAGCTTGCCATGATCTGAAGCTTTTGCGCAGAAGCAGCTTATTCTAAAAATGAAAGCAATGCATGGAAGCAAGGATTAACTATGGCTATGCCCTCTCCCATAAGTGTCAGATGTCTTGACTTGGGTAGGAGGTGGATAATAGATAAGCCTAGAGGGGCTGAGCAACATGGGGTCTGAGAGTGGAAGTGACTGCTCTTGAAAAACGCCCCACGGTGTAAACCTCAGGGAGTCAGGAGAGGAACGGAAGCTGAAGTAGCACATTGGCATGAGCCGATGCAGGCATTGATAATGGGCCTGAAAATAGATGGAAACTTCTAAGCCTCACAGGAATGAGGTATTGGACTAGCCTCTGGAAAGGAGGAGCAGCAAGAGACTCAGCAGGTTCAAAGATGGAGCTTGAGACATTTGCTAAAGGGGTTCGGTGCTTCTGTCTCCACGGGAATGGGACTCGCACTACTTTTCTTGCTAGCGAGTTTTCTTCTCTTCCCTTTAGAAAGCCCCTGCTGCTTCTGTCCAGCACGGGGACCTCCTCTCTGAGCTTTGTACATCCTTCAGCCCGTCTGCCTTCCAGTCCATTCCAGGCATTGTCATCTGCTGACTGGATGCCTGCCTTGCTGTGACTGTCTTCTCCAGCCCGCCCCTTTGAACCTATAAAGAAACCAGAAGGTAAAAAACAAAGGAGAAGCGGGCAGGGCACCACTGGTGGGTTACTGTTGACTGCATGAGGGAAGCTCTTGAAGGATGTTTCTTCCAGTACTTTATTGAAGGCATAAAGGTATTTACAAACCATAACAGGGTCCATCCAGGGCCTTATTGGCTTTGGTTTGGGGGAAGAACCCCACAATCACACGACACAACAAATACAGCCAGCTGCCGCTTCAAATCCAGGACAAGATGGGGAAACATGCTGAAACGGGGGGTACTGCTTGGCCTCTAAGTGTCTCGGCACAGTGTATGCCATTCCTGGCAGGATGCTTTGCTGACAGCCACGGGGACTGCAGGAGTTTGGGGTATGCCAGGCTGTGGATATGCTAAGCTATAATGAAGCTAAGACACTGCAAAGGACCTTGGGAGTAACAGGCTTCACTGACGGCTGGATGACCTGATAAAAGATGCAGTGAGCGAAAAGCCTAATTCAAAGTAAGCAACAAAAGTTGGGCAAGTTGGGGAGTTAGGCAAAATGGCATGTTACAGATGCAGTTGGGCTAGAAGCCGTCCACTCATGTCTGCAAGACCCTGCAACAGTTGGGTCTTTCCTAGGAGCTCAGTCAAGAAGTGGGATGAGCCCCCTGGATGGGGCAAGTGACACCCAAAAAACCCTTTCACACTGAACAACTCTCCAGACACTTTGGAGCTCAGGTGGCCTGACATCCCTGTACCCAGTTACGTGAGAGGGGTTGTTCCCAGACGCATCTGCTTCCAGAGGCAGCAACATGATCCTCTCACAGGAGCAGCCTCCAACTGCTCCCTGGGCCACATCTTTTCTATCCATGGAGACTCAAGCAAAGTCTGGGCCTCACTCTGCTCTCGAGGGTCCTGGATATGGCCCGGTGGGAGGGAGCTCTTTCCAGTGTGTCTCCCTTGACTTACACTGGAGTGAATGTGGAGTGAAGGGAGAGGGCAATCAGGCCTGGTACATGGGAGGTGCAGAACACAGGGCAAAGCGGGGCATCATCGTTGTGGTGGTCCCAGTCCTTCCCAGGTCCACGAGGGAGGCCGGTCATGAGCTGTAACAGACACAAGAGAGATGAGGAGTGACTGGAGGGAATGGCCCAGCTGTAATACATCCCTGTTGGACCCAAACCATGGCTTAGGAAGTGTGGCCCAGGAGTGCAGTGGGTGGGGCTATTGCCGCATGTAGCCCTGCAGGAGAGGTGGCGGCCTCAAGAAAGCTGCCATATTCCTCAATGACGGGCCAGGAATAGGGCTGGGAGTGGATGAAGCACCGGCCCCACCTCCCACCATGCACCTGGCAGGATAGCCGTGCTCAATCCCCACTGGGTGTATGGTCCACTGGGCAGAGCCCCAGTAGGGATCACTCCATTTTTACCCCCGGACCAGTGGGAGGTCCAGGGAGCAGGGACAGTGTCACTGGTGCAGCCAGTTTCCCTCCAGGCAGGATCCAGGGGAAGCACAACACCTTGCTGCCCTGCAGTGTGTGATCCCGGTGTTGCCATGATTGAGCCCCTGGGAGTGCAGAACAGGCCAGTGCAGTGTGTGGGCCCACGGGGTGGATGCCGGAGGCTCTCACCGTGTCTGTGGCGTCTAGTCGTTGGAGCTGCCCCTGTAGCGCACGCTCACCCACACCACAGCGCAGACCATGCACAGAAAGACAGGCAGCTTCAGGCCGACCAGGAGCAGGAGGTGGATGTTGCTGGCCTGGGAGCTGTGCAGTTGGGTGACAGTGGGGAGAGGTGAACTCTCTAGATTTGAATACACTCCTCCCACTGACCTACCTGTTCCCCAGCTGCTCTCAGGCTGAAGGTGGGAAGGATGTTTCAGCATGAAGAAAAGGAAGCCCCAGGGTTTCAGCACCTGCCCCTGACACAGACCCCCACAACCTCCTCAGGGATTCATTCATGCAGTCACAGAGCCAGCAGCAGCTTGGTTCCCAGTCTGCCCTTTCCAGTCAGTGCTGTCCTACCCACAGTCTGCCTCCAAGGAGCTGCTGATCAAAGAAGCCCCGTGGGACATTCTCAGCAATGGGGTGCAATGGGGCTAGATGTCCTCAACCTGGGGTGAGGGTACAGGCACTCACCTTTGGGGCGTGCTGTGCACAGTTGTGAACTCAGGAGAAGTCAGGATCTCTATGGTTGATGACACTGGGGTGGGAAGCACTGCAAAGGAGACCAGAGCTTCATTGGGTGCATGTTGCACCTGATGGTGGGGATGTGCTGCCAGCACTGTTAGGTGACAGCACAACTCAATGTCCTTATGTGACACAGCCCAGCACACCTGTGGTATAAGCTCACCATCCAGCTCCTCCATTGAAACGGCAGGTTGAAAATGTTTGGATCCTCCAAAGCACACATTCCTTCATTTTAAGGGCTGCCAAAAGGTCCCAACTGTACTTTTACCTCACAGTGAATGCAAATGCCAAACCCTTAATAGTTTAGAGAGCCACACGGAGCCAAAGGCAACTCTTTGGGCCCTGGGAATCAGGGAACACAAACCCAAGCACCACTTCACCGAGGGAGAGGAGGGAAACCCCCTTGTGTCCCAGGGCCTGGCAGCCAGAGCTCTGTGATCAGGAACCAGCCCCACCCTTCGCTCCCACACCTGTGTCCGGGGGGTCCCCCTGAGTCCAGCCACACTCTCCGGCCTCTGGTTTTTCACAGGCATCTGGGTTTCACTCCTGGGAATGACCCAGCCTTAGGCTCACATGTGGGGACTCTCTGATCTTGGGTGTGATCTGCCTGAACCCAGATCTTCCAGAAGGGCCAGAGCTGTTGGGGTGTAAGGTCCTGGGGGTGCAGCACAGCAAGGTGCGCCGCACATAGAGCGCACAGTTTCTACTGGGTCATCAGCTTATGCTGCTCCCTACTCCTTCCCCTCCTCCGACTCCTCCTCATGGGGCAATGTTCCCTCTGACACAGCCCTCACTCCCCCCCTGCTCTCTTTCAGTGGGATCAGGCCCTGGTAGCGCTGCTGCCCAGACCAGGGTGGCTTCGAGGGGGAAGGAGGATCCAGCTGCCATCCTGGGCTGGTCCCGCGGGGCTCTGCTGGGTCTGTCCAGGAGGTGGGTCAGACAGCGGAGCAGGGTTGTGGGGAGCCTCTGTAATGGGAGCACTGGGCACAGGGCACTGCGGGCAGAGCAGGGGGCATGATGGGGGTGATGTGGCTGATGGTCTTCAGGGTTGAATCTCCCTTTGCATTACTGGGGACCTTCACATTGAGAGCCTGCCTGACCACAGCACCCTCCATCCCCTCTTTCCTCTGAGCAGGGAGGAAGGGAAGGCAGTTATCTGGGGACACGATCACCTCCACAGCATGCCTGGGATCAGGCAGTGCAGTCCTCAGCACCCTGCAGTGGTAGGTGCCAGCATCCGCCTTGGTCAGGTGCTCCATGGTAACCGTGAACCTGCGCAGGGTGTGGTTGTCCTGGATGGAGAAGCGGCCCTTTTGGACCTTGGCCTCCGACCCGTTGGTCTCCAGGATGTGCTCCCCATTAGAACAGCGGAAGGAAGATCCTTCTCTACACCAGAACTTCCCATACTCCTCATAGCCCTTGTCATACCCGCATGTCACGGACACCGACCCACCTTCAGGGCCCGTCACCGTCCAGGGGCCAGTCAGTGCCACGCTGTCTGCAGGAGACACGAACACAGAGAGACCCTGAGCCCTTTGCTCTGCAATGACGTTCCCAGGGAAGACAGGGGATGCCGTGGCCCGTGCATGGAGGGAAGGAGGAGAAGGGGCAACACAGGGCGTCACATTTTCTGAATCAGAAAACTTTCCCCGAGAGAAATTTTCCTGCAGAAAATCTCCAGTGTGAACATAACAGTTTGCTCTGACTGGGAACACTGGACCTGAACCCGTCAAGGCAGTGTCTGGATCTGACACCTCGAAACAAGCCAGTGCTTGTTACTATAACAGGGAGCCCTAGCCCTGTTACTGCAAAGCGGCATGGTCCTTTTATGGCCAGTCTTCAGTGCAAGGACATCTGGCAGAGCAGGGGTTCAGGGGAGCCCTGCAGGTGGGTCAGCGACCGGGGCTGATGGGCCGAGCCGATGGGAGCAACCAGCCCAGGCGCAGGCAGAGAGCGGGCTCCTGATTGCCCAGGAGACCAATAGAAAACACCTCTGCAGGCCGGGGCACAGGACAGCATGACCTGGAGAGGTACTTATACCTCACAGTAAATGCAAATGCCAAACCCTTAATAGTTTAGAGAGCCACACGGAGCCAAAGGCAACTCTTTGGGCCCTGGGAATCAGGGAACACAAACCCAAGCACCACTTCACCGAGGGAGAGGAGGGAAACCCCCTTGTGTCCCAGGGCCTGGCAGCCAGAGCTCTGTGATCAGGAACCAGCCCCACCCTTCGCTCCCACACCTGTGTCCGGGGGGTCCCCCTGAGTCCAGCCACACTCTCCGGCCTCTGGTTTTTCACAGGCATCTGGGTTTCACTCCTGGGAATGACCCAGCCTTAGGCTCACATGTGGGGACTCTCTGATCTTGGGTGTGATCTGCCTGAACCCAGATCTTCCAGAAGGGCCAGAGCTGTTGGGGTGTAAGGTCCTGGGGGTGCAGCACAGCAAGGTGCGCCGCACATAGAGCGCACAGTTTCTACTGGGTCATCAGCTTATGCTGCTCCCTACTCCTTCCCCTCCTCCGACTCCTCCTCATGGGGCAATGTTCCCTCTGACACAGCCCTCACTCCCCCCCTGCTCTCTTTCAGTGGGATCAGGCCCTGGTAGCGCTGCTGCCCAGACCAGGGTGGCTTCGAGGGGGAAGGAGGATCCAGCTGCCATCCTGGGCTGGTCCCGCGGGGCTCTGCTGGGTCTGTCCAGGAGGTGGGTCAGACAGCGGAGCAGGGTTGTGGGGAGCCTCTGTAATGGGAGCACTGGGCACAGGGCACTGCGGGCAGAGCAGGGGGCATGATGGGGGTGATGTGGCTGCAGCACCCGTGTGTTAGAAGCGCCCCATCCAGCTCCTCCATTGAAACGGCAGGTTGAAAATGTTTGGATCCTCCAAAGCACACATTCCTTCATTTTAAGGGCTGCCAAAAGGTCCCAACTGTACTTTTACCTCACAGTGAATGCAAATGCCAAACCCTTAATAGTTTAGAGAGCCACACAGAGCCAAAGGCAACCCTTTGGGCCCTGGGAATCAGGGAACGCAAACCCAAGCACCACTTCACCGAGGGAGAGGAGGGAAACCCCCTTGTGTCCCAGGGCCTGGCAGCCAGAGCTCTGTGATCAGGAACCAGCCCCACCCTTCGCTCCCACACCTGTGTCCGGGGGGTCCCCCTGAGTCCAGCCACACTCTCCGGCCTCTGGTTTTTCACAGGCATCTGGGTTTCACTCCTGGGAATGACCCAGCCTTAGGCTCACATGTGGGGACTCTCTGATCTTGGGTGTGATCTGCCTGAACCCAGATCTTCCAGAAGGGCCAGAGCTGTTGGGGTGTAAGGTCCTGGGGGTGCAGCACAGCAAGGTGCGCCGCACATAGAGCGCACAGTTTCTACTGGGTCATCAGCTTATGCTGCTCCCTACTCCTTCCCCTCCTCCGACTCCTCCTCATGGGGCAATGTTCCCTCTGACACAGCCCTCACTCCCCCCCTGCTCTCTTTCAGTGGGATCAGGCCCTGGTAGCGCTGCTGCCCAGACCAGGGTGGCTTCGAGGGGGAAGGAGGATCCAGCTGCCATCCTGGGCTGGTCCCGCGGGGCTCTGCTGGGTCTGTCCAGGAGGTGGGTCAGACAGCGGAGCAGGGTTGTGGGGAGCCTCTGTAATGGGAGCACTGGGCACAGGGCACTGCGGGCAGAGCAGGGGGCATGATGGGGGGGATGTGGCTGATGGTCTTCAGGGTTGAATCTCCCCTTGCATGACTGGGGACCTTCACATCGAGAGCCTGCCTGACCACAGCACCCTCCACCTCCTCTTTCCTCTGAGCAGGGAGGAAGGGAGGGCAGTTACCTGGGGACACGATCACCTCCACAGCGTGCCTGGGATCAAGCAGTCGAAGCCTCAGCACCCCACAGTGGTAGGTGCCAGCATCTGCCTTGGTCAGGTGCTCCATGCTAACCGTGAACACATGCAGGCTGTGGTTGTCCTGGATGGAGAAGCGGCCCTCTCGCACCATGGTCTCTGACCCGTTGGTCTCAAGGATGAACTCCCAGTTGAAACAGCGGAAATAAGATCTTTCTCTACACCAGAACTTCCCATACTTCTCATAGCCCTTTTCGTACTCGCATGTCACAGACACCGACCCACCTTCAGGGCCCATCACTGTCCGGGGGCCTGTCACTGCCACGCTGTCTGCAGGAGACACTGACACGGAGAGACCCTGAGCCCTTTGCCCTGCAATGACGTTCCCAGGGAAGACCGGGGATGCCGTGGCCCGTGCATGGAGGGAAGGAGGAGAAGGGGCAACACAGGGCGTCACATTTTCTGAATCAGAAAACTTTCCCCGAGAGAAATTTTCCTGCAGAAAATCTCCAGTGTGAACATAACAGTTTGCTCTGACTGGGAACACTGGACCTGAACCCGTCAAGGCAGTGTCTGGATCTGACACCTCGAAACAAGCCAGTGCTTGTTACTATAACAGGGAGCCCTAGCCCTGTTACTGCAAAGCGGCATGGTCCTTTTATGGCCAGTCTTCAGTGCAAGGACATCTGGCAGAGCAGGGGTTCAGGGGAGCCCTGCAGGCGGGTCAGCGACCGGGGTGATGGGTCGAGCCGATGGGAGCAACCAGCCCAGGCGCAGGCAGAGAGCGGGCTCCTGATTGCCCAGGAGACCAATAGAAAACACCTCTGCAGGCCGGGGCACAGGACAGCATGACCTGGAGAGGTACTTATACCTCACAGTAAATGCAAATGCCAAACCCTTAATAGTTTAGAGAGCCACACAGAGCCAAAGGCAACCCTTTGGGCCCTGGGAATCAGGGAACGCAAACCCAAGCACCACTTCACCGAGGGAGAGGAGGGAAACCCCGCTGTGTCCCAGGGCCTGGCAGCCAGAGCTCTGTGATCAGGAACCAGCCCCACCATTTGCTCCCACACCTGTGTCCGGGGGGTCCCCCTGAGTCCAGCCACACTCTCCGGCCTCTGGTTTTTCACAGGCATCTGGGTTTCACTCCTGGGAATGACCCAGCCTTAGGCTCACATGTGGGGACTCTCTGATCTTGGGTGTGATCTGCCTGAACCCAGATCTTCCAGAAGGGCCAGAGCTGTTGGGGTGTAAGGTCCTGGGGGTGCAGCACAGCAAGGTGCGCCGCACATAGAGCGCACAGTTTCTACTGGGTCATCAGCTTATGCTGCTCCCTACTCCTTCCCCTCCTCCGACTCCTCCTCATGGGGCAATGTTCCCTCTGACACAGCCCTCACTCCCCCCCTGCTCTCTTTCAGTGGGATCAGGCCCTGGTAGCGCTGCTGCCCAGACCAGGGTGGCTTCGAGGGGGAAGGAGGATCCAGCTGCCATCCTGGGCTGGTCCCGCGGGGCTCTGCTGGGTCTGTCCAGGAGGTGGGTCAGACAGCGGAGCAGGGTTGTGGGGAGCCTCTGTAATGGGAGCACTGGGCACAGGGCACTGCGGGCAGAGCAGGGGGCATGATGGGGGTGATGTGGCTGATGGTCTTCAGGGTTGAATCTCCCTTTGCATTACTGGGGACCTTCACATTGAGAGCCTGCCTGACCACAGCACCCTCCATCCCCTCTTTCCTCTGAGCAGGGAGGAAGGGAAGGCAGTTATCTGGGGACACGATCACCTCCACAGCATGCCTGGGATCAGGCAGTGCAGTCCTCAGCACCCTGCAGTGGTAGGTGCCAGCATCCGCCTTGGTCAGGTGCTCCATGGTAACCGTGAACCTGCGCAGGGTGTGGTTGTCCTGGATGGAGAAGCGGCCCTTTTGGACCTTGGCCTCCGACCCGTTGGTCTCCAGGATGTGCTCCCCATTAGAACAGCGGAAGGAAGATCCTTCTCTACACCAGAACTTCCCATACTCCTCATAGCCCTTGTCATACCCGCATGTCACGGACACCGACCCACCTTCAGGGCCCGTCACCGTCCAGGGGCCAGTCAGTGCCACGCTGTCTGCAGGAGACACGAACACAGAGAGACCCTGAGCCCTTTGCTCTGCAATGACGTTCCCAGGGAAGACAGGGGATGCCGTGGCCCGTGCATGGAGGGAAGGAGGAGAAGGGGCAACACAGGGCGTCACATTTTCTGAATCAGAAAACTTTCCCCGAGAGAAATTTTCCTGCAGAAAATCTCCAGTGTGAACATAACAGTTTGCTCTGACTGGGAACACTGGACCTGAACCCGTCAAGGCAGTGTCTGGATCTGACACCTCGAAACAAGCCAGTGCTTGTTACTATAACAGGGAGCCCTAGCCCTGTTACTGCAAAGCGGCATGGTCCTTTTATGGCCAGTCTTCAGTGCAAGGACATCTGGCAGAGCAGGGGTTCAGGGGAGCCCTGCAGGCGGGTCAGCGACCGGGGTGATGGGTCGAGCCGATGGGAGCAACCAGCCCAGGCGCAGGCAGAGAGCGGGCTCCTGATTGCCCAGGAGACCAATAGAAAACACCTCTGCAGGCCGGGGCACAGGACAGCATGACCTGGAGAGAAGCAGGTGCGGGGAAGCAGGCGCGCTGCCTCGGGTCTTTGTTCTTTGTTATAGCCCAGGGCTTAGCGTTTAGGAAGTTGTTTTAACTGGAGTTTTGGAGGCCTCATTAGTGGCCAGAGGCACATAACCCCCTTGAGCTCTTCCAGGAGCAGGCTCAAGACTCCAGTGAGTATTGAGACATAGCGGAGCCCGGCAAAGGTGCAGAGAGACACGGGGCAGAGAGCCCAGCACCAGAGGGGCACAGAGACCCACGGGCCAGAGAGCCTGGTGCCAGAAGAGCGCAGCAGACAAGACCAGGGGCACAGCGATAGGAAAGCGGGGAGCGGAGCTAGCAGCTCAAAGCCTGGTCCAACACAGCCAGATTAAAGGGGCAGTGGCTGAACATGCTGAGGTCCCAGCAGAGGTGACAGTAGTCATGTAACACCTGCGAGGCATGGGGCAGGGTGAGGGTTGGTATAGAGCCCTGCCATTAGCTCTTAAGGCAGGAGTTTGTCACCTCCAGGTGTTCTTTGGAGTGAGGACCTGATCTGGGAAGCCCTGGGGCAGCCTCCCCTTTAAGAACAAAAAAGAAACATCAAGATGTGGCAGGCAAGTGAAGGGAAGACTGTTCCCAGCAGTGCATTGAAATACAGGGCACTCTGGGGCACATCCAGGGGTGCTCGACCACCTCGGGGATGTTGCCCTGTTACATTTACCTTTTAAAATGGCCTCTCATTTGCATTTCCATTTCATCTTGCTCATTTCTTGGAACTTCCCCCAAAATATCTTCCTGTTCTTCTTCCTGCCCTCAGCTTCCCTTCGCAGGCTTTTCTCTGCAACCATGAAGGCTAACGAACCTTAGTCTTTCTAAGACAGCGAGAGTGCAGCATAGTGACATGACTCCAGGTGCTGGGTCTTTAAGACACCCAACAATTATGCTAAGGCTCCTGATAAAATTCTGAGCCAACAAGACTGGATCTTCTCCTCCGCCAGCTGAACTGAACCGGGTAAGGCAGTGTCTGGATCTGGCATCTCGAAACAACCACTATTACTTTTGTTTTGTATTACAATGGCCTCTCATTAGTATTTCCATTTCATATTACATATTTTTGGGCTCTTCCCGAAAAATACCCTCCCATCTTTTTTCCTGCCCTCAGCTCCTCTTCTCAAGCTGTTCTTTGCACCCATGACGGCTATTGAGCCTTCATCTTTCTTTCTAAGAAAACTGAGCGTTCAATATAATTACATGACTCCAGGAGCTGCATCTTTAAGAAAACCAGCAAGTATCTTGAGGCTCAGGATGACATCCTGATCTGACAACAATGGATCTTCTGTTCAGCACTGAGATCCTTATTTTCCATGCATTTGGAGGCGCCAACTCCTGCAAACCTCCTGTCATACTCACCGGGGAAGAGAATCCAGAGCCAAAGAGGGAGCATCCACATGGTCCTGGTCCCTGTGCAGCTGAATCTGGTCTCTGCAGCTGCCCTGGGACCTGCTGCCTTTCAGGAGTGCTGAAAACGAGCCTGAGACCGCTTCTCTACTTTGCAGTTTCTACCTCTGTCAGCTACTGTCCTTCCGTGTGCAAATGCTTCTGTGCAACTATAGGAAGTGAAACAACATCGACTCTTGTGTTACGTATGCTATATGATGCTGTCTTAAAAAAAAATAGCAGGTTAGTACCCAGCCTTGAAAGCTTTTTTTTTTCTTTTCTAGACAGGCCAGCGGACCATTGTGGATCCACAGTTTTAGGGTCTCTCTCTTAAGTGTTGCAATTTGTGATGAAATCAAATTAACTGATTCCTCTTTCTTGGCTTTCTGATATCCCTGGATCTGGACAGACTCTCTGTCGATAATCTCTGGTGCCCAGATCCCCTCAGTGAAGCCCCCAATAACATTTGTAGCTTAGAGGTCATCAGAGAGTCAGATTCCGGTCTTTGGATGCGATGATTTTATACCAAGGAGGTGATCCTTTATGCTCTGGTGTGTGAAAGCTTCTCTCACTTCTGTCCCTACCACACACTTGGTCTAAAAACAGGTGTCACCAAAAACGCTTGCTCCCACTTTAATTCAGAGTCTCCCCCTGCTCCCCATGAGCCTTGGGAGTGCTAAGTGCTGAACAGTGGCCCTGCTGCATGCTGGCAAACAACCTGGCTTCGTGGACTCTAGACAGGACGAGCGAGGAGGGCCAAATGGAGATTGTGGATGAAATGGGTGAGGAGGACAAAATGGAGCTGTGTCTCCTGCTGGTGCTCTTGGATTTACTGAATAGCATAGAAGCACAGCTAATGATCGCAATGTGTGCTATAGTGATGCTTGTAAACTGTTGCGATGAGATGCCAATATGTAAACACACCTCACGAAAAAGACACTTAGATGTGCGGTGGCATGGGATAGCCGGGAGGCAGGCGCAGAACTGGGGGCTGACAGGGTTTTGTGGATCACCCTCAGGAGCAGCAACCACTGGGTCTGGGCCCACATGAGCAGCTCAGCCTGGTGGGAGTGAACCGTTCTGACCACGTGGAGCAATCAGCAGCGGCTCGAGATGTTGTGAATGACCAGGGAGATGTTTAATAACAACGTCCTGACGCTGGTCCTGAACAGGGCAAGGCAGGACACTGTCATGTGTTGGGCCATTGTGGCAGAGAAGAGGGTGGCCATGGCCATCATGAAACTGGCCGCCCCGCTAGCCTCTGTTACATCCCAAAACAGTTTGGGTTTGGCTTCCTGCACAGCTGGGCCGGCGACTCATGAGTTATGTTATTTGGTGCAGGATGTGGCAGCAAACAACTTAATTTGCCTCAATAATCCCCAGGAACTCATTGATGGCTTCAATGCCATGGGGTTCCCAAACTGCATGGGGGCTTTAGACAGCACACACATCCCTGTGCTATCCCCCTTGCTGGCGAGCCACATATTCACAAACAGGAAAGGATTTGCCTTGGTAATCCTGCAAGCTGTGGTTGACCCCCGGGGCCAGTTCACTTACATTTTTACAGGATGGGCCAGCAGCACACATGATGCACATGTGTTTAGAAACTCTGTGTTGCCCGGCTTGATGAAGAAAGAATACTATGCACCTAGAGTCCCTGACAGACTGATCCGTGGTGCTCCTGTCCCCCTGCTTATAATAGCCGATGCGACTTACACCCTCAAGCCTTGCCTCATGAAGTCTTATGCAGGGCACATTACCTGCAGAAGATGATTTTCAACTATCATCTCAGCCAATGCAGGATAGATGTTCAATGTGTCTATGGCCACGTGAAAGCACGGTAGAGGGCCCTGAACTCGTGTTAGAGCCAGAAAACATAACAACCTTCATAGTGGCAGCCTGCATGCTCCACAACATTTGTGAAACCAGGGAGGAAGTTGTCAGTGAGTCATGCATGGGCTGACGAAGTGCAGGAGGCAGTGGGAAAGCAGAGACATGGGCAGGCAGTGCATGGCAACCCACAGCGCCAGCCTGGAGATGCTGCTCGGGCGGACCTTGTGTGGGATTGCCTGGCCGCACAGATCATGGACACTGCTGACAACTAGCACTGACTGGTTCTTCTAATAAAAATAAAGTTCTCGTCATTTTGCAACAGGAAACACCTGTATCTTCAGTACATTGTCTATAGTGCAGGGGAGGAGGTTTCAGTGAGGACACAGTGAGGGCAAAGATCAGGTGTGATGGGTATAGGGGTTACTGGTTTGATGGTGGTGCCCCCTGCTATAATCGAGTAGCTAAGATAGCAGCAAGGTGGATGGGTAACTGGCTCCCCCTGCTGGAATTTCATGGGAATTGCACATCAGGCTTAATTCGTTAAAAAGGCTGTTACGTGCAAACAGTGATGAAACATTCTAAAATAAACCGTTTTAAATGTAATAAACTTATTTCATTTAATGAGGATTAAACTCCATTATGTGTACAAGTGCCTTGTGTGGATCAGTAGTGTGTCCTGGGAAGTTTAAAAACCCTGCAGATTCTCTGAAATGCCCTAATGTCATTGTCTTCTCATCTGGTGCAGCCTGCTGCTGTGTTCTCTCACCTGCCCCTTCTACAGTCTTAAGAAACCAGGATGCAGGAGGAGCAGGAAAGAGCAAGTAACCAGTGAGCTGGACACCACTGCATGATGGAGGTTCTCGGTGGATGTTGGTGTTTGGTCAGTGAAATATTCCAATAACTTAATTTAGAAAATTGTATTTATTCTAAAATTTACAAGACACAAGAGGCTACCATGCCGCCATCCAGCTACAACCAAACTAACACAACAAAATATAATCACAGCCACCACTTCATATCCAGGTAAAGAAGAAAACCTGAATGAGATGAGTCCATACACTTGTCTTAGGCAGCCTTCAAGGGTCTGCATTTTGTTTGTTGTTTCTGCCAGGATATTATGGCTTGCAATTTTTTAAAAAATTATTTGGAGATTTCTAATACATAACAGGGTCTCTCCAGGGCTCTGGCTGGCCTTGGCACAAAACAAAGAACACAACCACTCTAGCACAATGAATAAGAAATGCAGCACCCTTCTGAAAACCAGGAAGAGAAGGGAAAAAGAGTCTGACCTATAAGGCCTTAACAGAATATTATTTATTCTCCAGATATCCCTGCATGATGCTTATGGAGATGCTTTGCCAATTGACCTTGCAGGACCAAAAGGGGAGTTGAGGAAGCCTGCATTGCTAGAGCTGTCTCAGGTCTTATCCATAAAGACCCTGTCTTTAAGCAAAAAAATTGAGATTTGATTTATTATGATAACCTTAACCTTTGATACACACAAATCCCAATTTTTAGCACCCCTTCACTCCCTGAAGACCTAGGAAAAGACATCCTGGGCCTTACTCCTCACAAGGAGAGGATCCTGGATTTGTCCCAGGGTGAAAGGGCTGTTCCCAGGGGAGCTCCTTTGACTTTGCTCCAGAGTGACTTTAGTGTAAGGGAGCGGAGAATCAGGTCTAGTGCCTGGGAGACGCTGAACGCAGGGCAGGTGGAGGCATTGCTGATGTGATAGTTCAGGCCCTTCCCGGGCCTAGGGGTGAGGCAGGTGATGATCTGTAACACATCAGAGACCAGTGGTGACTGGGGCAGAATTGTTTGATGCTCGTCCCTTGGAGACAGCAGTTATCTTAATGGAGTCTGGCCTGAGATCCTGCATCAAGGACTACAGGGCAGTGAGAAAGTCCCCCCACCTACAACAGACAGTAATGTTTGGCCTAACTGTGACCTGGACAACATGGCAGGGTGTACAGGGTTGGAGGAGTTAGCACATGTAGGCATGAAGACAATGAAGCCACCTCAAGAGACAGGACTTCTTTCCCCTGGGTAGGTCAGGAGTGAGTGAGGCAATGGCTCCAACTCCCACCATGCACCTGGCAATGGATCCGTGCTCAACTCCATTGGGAGTAAACTCCACTGGGCACAAACCTACCAGGGATTACTCCAACACAATCTCTGGACCAGTGGGGGAACTGGGGAGCAGGGACAGTGTGACCTGAGCAGCTGGCTTCTTGCCTGAATGGATCCAGAGGACACACAACATATACTGCCCTTTAGCCTGTGATGACCACAACATTAACTTTTGCGATAAATGCCGGAGGCTCTTACCACGTCTGTGTGGCACCATGGCACAGGAGCTGTCCCTGTAGTGCACGCTCACCCACACCACGGCACAGACCATGCACAGGAAGATGGGCACCTTCAAGCCGACCAGGAGCAGGAAATGGATGCTGCTGGCCTGGGACCTGCAGGTGGAGGGCGGTGTAGAATGAGAAGTCAAGCCCTCTTGGTTGGACTAGATTGCTCTCTTCCTGAAGGTGGGATGGGTGTTTATGAAGGGAAGGTCTTTTAGTTTGTCTCCACTTGCAGCTGAGTCCCCACACATTCATATTCCCCCTTTGCAGACTCCCTCTTTCTAGGCTATACAAGGGTAGAGGTGCCAAAGAAACTTGTCATGGGACTCAATGGGTGCCTGTACATGTTGTTGACTTTGTGTAGATGAACGTATTCTTTGGTGGAGTTTTGTGTTTCACAATGTACCATGATGTTTCCTGTTACTATTTTGCATGGGTTTAACACTCCAAATTCGTTAATGTGCTATTACAAGTTAGTCACTCTAAAGGGCACCTCATAACAATTTTACCCTCCAGAGAGTCTACTACTAAATTACAGTAGGGGGCAGTTTTGGTATGTAATTTGTGTCATGCTTCGTACCTTTTATTCATAAAATAAATCAAGCAATAAACAGTCAATTTGGTGGGTTGTGCGGGACAGGTTTTGGTTGATTTTGGGGGACAGGGGTGGGTGAGGTGCGACTGGTTTTGCTTTTGGTTGCTGCACCAAATGTGCCCCCCTGCACAGCGGCCAGCATACGCCCCCACACCTGAGTACATGCTGCAGGAAGGCACCCTTCGATAGGGTGTCATACATAAAGGAAACGAGCTGCAGGAAGGAGAAGGGATGAGGGTTACAACAGCAGAATCACATGCTGGCTCTGAGCCTGGGTAGCTGCCAACAGGAATACAGGACCGGACTGAGCTGGATATGAGCATGGCTTTTAAGAACGCAGGTCGTCCCACCAAGCTTCAGGAAAGGACGAGGACTCCCTGTTACAGCCGGAAAGAGCTTTACTTCTTCCCGGCAGTGCCAAATCCCAGGGGCAGTTTGTGGTGTAGCAAACATGGTGGGAATGATGGAGACATAACAAAAGGACTAGTAGGCCTTAGGGGTTCAGATGAGAGAACAGGTGGAAAGAGAAAAAGAAATCAGTCTCCATCTGAGACACGACACATTGTAAGATCAAAGGCTCACAGAAAATGAGGGTTGGAAGGGACCTCAGGAGGTCACATCTAGTCCAACCTCTGCTCAAAGCAGGACCATCCCCAATTATATCATCCCAGCCAAGACTTTGTCTAGCCGAGTCTTAACTACCTCCAAGGATGGAAATTCAACTTCTCTGGGTAACCTGTTCCAGAGTTTTACTACCTTCTTAGCGAGAAAATTTGTCTTAATATCTAACCTAAACTTCCCTTGCTGCAACTTGAGCCCATTGCTCCTTGTTCTGTTATCTGCCACCACTGAGAACAGTCCAGCTCCATCCTCTTTCGAACCTTGCTTCAGGTAGTTGAAGGCTACTGTTAAATCCCATCAGTTTTCTCTTCCCTGGTCTAAATAAGCTCAGCCTCTCCTCATAAGTCATGTCTCTCAGCCCCTTCACTATTTTCATTGCCCTCCCCTGGACTCTCTCCAATTTGTCCACATCCCTTTAGTAGAGGGGGGCTCAGAGCTGATCACAGGACTCCAGAGGTGCCTCGCCAGTGCTGAACAGAGGGGAGGAATCACTTCCCTTGACCTGCTGGCAACGCTGCTACCAGTGCCGCCCACTAAGGTACAACACTGTTGTCTGAAGGAGGAGGAAGCTGAAGGAGGAGGGATCTCTTGCACTGTGTGAACTGCCATGAGACGGAAAACCACCGCGCCCACGATCATGACGGCTCTCACTCACCCTGCTGGGGTGGGGTGTTGGTTAGGGAAATTGGCTTCATCTTCCTTAGCAGCTGTCCGTGCCGAGGTCGGCTTTGTGGAGGCTGTAGGAACAGGGATTGACAGTGTGCATCCTGCTGAGTGTGAGGAAGGAAAAGCTTTTGCGGGGTAAAAAATCGAATCTTACATATCCCCAGCAGGGCTGTAGCTGGGAGTGGGAACATGGGTGGGTCCCGGCTATGATGGATGAACCCAAAAGGCTGATGTCACAGTGACTTGTGTTGCAGATGGATTAGACTAGTTAACACACCTGGCCTCACCCCAAAACCTCAGATAACTCTGTTACATACCTGCTACACATACTAAAAAGATGCCCCATGCTTGAGCACCTGTCTGCTGTCTGGTCAGTGAATATTATTTGTTCACTGTGGTATTGCCCCAGGCTCATATTCACTTGGGTGCTACTTGCTGAGCTGCAGCCCACGCTAGGCTTCCCGCAGACATGTGGCTTCCCTCCAGGCACAGCCATTTTCTCAGTGATACTAGATGTTCTCCTTTCTAAGACCAAGGTTCAAACCTAAGTACTGGAAACGATTCTGCCTACTGCTGCCAGGGTGTGTGGGACCATGAAGTCCCTGAAGTCTGTAGGGGGAAATTCCCCCACCATGGGCATGGGATAGCTAGTCTTAGGCTTCCCTCTGTGTCTGGCAGTGACATGTCAGGGGTGGGCAAGGATGGAAAGAAAAAGCTCTTCATTTTTGATTCTGGGAAAAGCTGCAGCTTACAGGAAGCCTGGGAGGAACTGAGTCTGTGACACATTACAGCAGTCCCATGTGCATCTGTCAGTCCAGAATGGATGCCTGGGAAGGTGTCCTCTTTGCTTCTCCTACCTAGGCTTTACCTTTTGAAGGCAAAGCACATAACCTCTGCCAGAGCCCTCCCTTCCATGGTGATGCTCTGCTTGGTCCCTACGGTACGTCCTGCCTTGTTTTCATTGTCTGAATCCCTGTGATAATATCCACCTCGATGACCAGATGATGGCAGGAGGCAGGGGAGCGGGGAGGGGGAGAGGAGGAGGGCAGGGATGGGGATTCAGCTGACAAAATTGCAAATAAAGAAAAGGGTTTGCAGGCTGTGACAGCCTTTCCCTCCTGCTTCCTGAGCTAGCCAATGGGGACTCTAAACCTGGCAGTTCAATGGAGCAAAGCAGTCCTGCTTGGGGAACAGCCACAGATCACCGATGCCCCTACAACAGGGCACTGCTAATCCGCTCTTTCTGTATTCATTTTGGGGGCACTGCCTAGTCTACCTGGGGTTAACACGGCAGTATCCAGGTTGCCCAGTCAGTCAGTGGGGCTGGTTCCAGGGTGAAGCTGGGCTTTAGCAACTGCAGTGTTTTAGGTCTGTGAGCTCATTCATTGTGGGCTTCCAGGGCATGGCCAACAAGTGCATATCACTCTGTATCTTAGTTGGTCTAAACATAGAAGATGCCAATTTTTAGCTGATTTTGGATTTAAACTTCATTGCTAAACAACAAGAAAGATTTCTATAGTATACCTCCCTGCCTCCTGCCATCTGATATCCCCAGCGAAGGAATCCTGCCTTATCTGCACACCAAAGAGCAACTCACAATCGATCTCTGCACACACACGCTTACCAAAACTGAAAAATCTTCCCTTTCTAAAGGCCTAAATTTCTACCCAGAAAAATATGCTAATAAAATACTTCAATAAGCCAACTCACAAAGACACTCTCGTGGGCCCAGAGGAAGAGACTTTTACCTTCAGCTTCCTCTGTGCAAAAATGAAGTTTATTTTCTAAGTATGGGGACTTTTTACCATCTTTAATTTTCCCTGAGCCTGAGGAAGGACGTGCGTGCCCGAAGCTTGCAGAAAAGTCTTTTTTTGTTGTCATTTCTTAGTTGATCAGGTATCATATCTGAACTACGAGTTCTAGAGGTTTTTGCATTTCTTTTTCATCTCAGACCAACATGGCTACCAAATACATCCCTATCACTCTGTAATGCATGCAGAAGGGATGGTAACCACAAAACATGAGGACTCTCCTGGTGCTACCAGGTCTACTTTGGGCACTTCCCTGGTCCTGTCAGCAGCAGGCTTGGCAGTGAGACCCAGCCCCACTCAAGCGCCTGCCCCAGGAAAGAGCCCTGTTCCCTGGGGGAGAGTCCCAGAAGCATCAACAACCACTGCCTCAGGAAAACAAGTGGTGTCACAGGCCATGAGCCCCCAAAACCAGGAGTGAGCAACCAGGAGCTCAGAGTGTGAAGATGAGCCGGCATGTTCCAGCTGGGGGAGATCATGGTGGAGGGATGGGGGGCAGCCCAGGGCTAAGGGCAGGAGCCCATCCCCACTGCTGTGAGATTGCACCTAGGAGACCACCTGGCCATGGGAACTTGCCCCTCAATGTATTCACCTGCAGCGCCGCACGCCCCTGATCCCTGTGAGGGGGATTCCTTGATGAGGCTGTGGTGTTGGGCAGGAGGGAGCTGGGTGTGGGTCAAGAAATGCCTTGTCATAGCACTGCCCTCCCCTGCCAGCATCCACATGCCTGCACCCCCTCCCCGTCTCTTGCCACCTGTTTGGTTATGTTGCACCGCAGGTGTAATAGGATCTGACTTTAGCAAGCGCAGGGCACGGACCCACCTGGGTGGTGCACCGCACTGCAAAGACCCTGGGGTTCCTGTGGACGGGAGCGGGGCAGGGACTTACCTGGAGACACCAACAGTTCCACAGCATGTGTGGGATCAAAATCAAGAGGCTTATTTATCCCGCACAGGTAGGTGCTGGTGTCCGCCATCGTCAGGGTCTCCATGGACACCGTGATGGTGCGCTGCGTGTGGTTGTCCCGGATGGAGAATCGGTCCTGCCACACCTCAGCCTCTGACCCTGTGGTCTCTATGATGTGGCTGCCCAAGCACAATACCATGTCGTCTCTGCACCAGAATTTTGGAAACTCTTCGTAGCCTTTCCCATAGTGGCACATCACAGACACCGAACCACCTTCAGGTCCCGTCACCGTCTCCGGGCCCATCACTGCGTTGGCATCTGTCTGTGTCACAACAGCTATTGTCGTGCAGCAGCCTGTGGAGGCAGAGACATGGAGAGTTATTTCCATGCCCCAGCGGTGAGGAGTAGTGTAGAGATTTGCTTTGGCAATCCCTCTGCATGTTTGACTGCAAGGACAGAGCTGGAAAATGCTGAGAAATTTGTCATCCTTATCCATTCACCATGGGGGCAGCAAATAGATAAAGCCCCCACCACCTCTAATCAGGGGCAAATTCCCATGAACAGTCTCTTGCTCAGAACACAGGCTAACTGGGCTCCTTGCTTTCCTCCCTCAGGCTGCTGGATGATGGGAGGGTGCTGCACCTTGGGAGAAGAAATCCACAGCATACATACAGGCTGGGGAGTTCCCCTCTTGAAAGCACAGAGGCGGAAAGGGATCTCGGAGTCATTATTGACTCCAAGATGAACATGAGCTGCCAATGCCAGACCGCAGCCAGCAAGGTCAGCCATACCTTGTCATGCATCCAAAGGTGCATCTCAAGCCGGTCCAGAGAAATGATACTCCCCCTCTATGCGACTGGTCAGGCAGCAGTTGGAGTATTGTGTCCAATACCGGGTGCCATTGAGAAGGGAAGATATGGCCAAGACAGCATTCAGCCCACCGTGGG